TATGCTGCTAGGCTCATCTTCTTTTCCCCACTCAAGCTTTTGGGAGGAAGTAGGCTGAGACAGTTATGGGCGATTTGACAGGGTTTCTTCATGATGGATTGGCATGGACCATTTTTATTTTGACAGATGAAGTTGACTTTGAGGAAGACAGTGGAATGTTCTAATATGGTTATTTGTCCTTTTATTTATGTTTTTCTTCCTCTCTATGTAATGACAAAATCCCAATCAGTATAGTATCACAGAACATCACAAACTCTAATTAATTTACCTAACAACATCTGTGGTAGGTAGGGAAATACTGTTATTTCCATTGTATAGTCTGTGCCTACTGAACCTAGACTTCCTGAGTACCAGTGGTCATACGTCTTAACTATAAGTCCATCCTTCCGCCTTTATAAGGGCCTACAACCTTGAGTTTTTAAACATTTTAATAAATATTTTCCCATTTAAGATACCTCCCCTTTGCTCTTTTTTAAAAGGGAGTGAAGCAAATCACTTCCCAGAACGTGTATTGTTTCCATGGCTCAGCAACAGAAAAAGACTCAGAATGCCAGACTTGTATATGAAATGAAAAATCAAGCCCAACTTTGTGGCCTGGGATAGTTTGGCACTTAGGGCCACACTTTCAAAGATGGCTTGTTATTTTGAGTATTTTACTGCTGGTGAAAATTTAGGCCTTAACCTCTTTGTGGATTATGCCATGTCTAGACTACAGAGTTAAATTTATTTAAATTGTGTTGACGATCATAAGTCTCTTTAATAACATCGGTGGAGTATGTCCACACAATGCTCCTTGCACTGGGGGAGGCATCCACAGTCATTATTTTTGCAATGATAGAGAACGCTGCATCACGGATACCTATCCCGTTGTGCAATTTGTTGTCCTGTGTCACTCTTCACCACTGGGAGCCCTGGGACCAGAGCATGGTGCATCATAGGGCTATGCTTGCTATCTTGTGATACAGTTCTTTCTGTCCTACCATTTCATGGAATTCTTAATTCATTTTATGCCATTTTTCAACAGCTCTTGGAAAGTGTGAGCCCATCATCTCTGCATAGATCCTGAGCTACTGACGGCTCTGAGGACGAGCATTTTGAACACTATGCAACTGGTCCTGTAATATTTCGTAATCAGTGAAACAGAGAGTGAATTGCTGATGTTTGTCCTGCTCTCTGCCCTGGAAATAAATCATTCAAGATTGCTGTTGGTAGTCACGGAATAGCACACCATGGTGGACAGCCATAGGCTCAGGAAACAAGAAGTGAGTGGTGGAGTCACATTCTGATGCATGTATGGAATGGTAAGTAGTAGCTGCAGAACTTTCAGATGCACAAAGCCACCTTCCTAGAACTTTGCATGGAGTTTACCACTGCCCTATGGGACAAGGACACCAGAACAAGAACTGCCCTCACTGTAGAAAAGCAAGTGGCAATTGTGTGTAACTGGCAACTCCAGACTGCTTCTGGTCAGCTATGAATCAGCCTCTTAGGGAGCAGTGGTGCCAGTGTTCAGGGCCACCGATTGCCTCCTGCTATGAAGGACTGTGACTGTTGGTAATGTCCAGGAAATAATTGATGGCTTTGAGACAATGGGAGTCCCTAAGTGCAGTGGAGCAATAGATAGAATGCACATCACATTTTGTCCCTCTGACCAGTTTTCAGTAGACTTACAACTAAACATATTACTTCTCCATGGACTTTGCAACTAGGTGCTCTCACCTCTCATGAGTACCCCCAATCTGAGTGTGTGTGCCTGAACTCTGTTTGTCACGGGTCTTCAGTAGTGGAGCCAACAGCCACTGCAGACCCTAGGGCAAGGTGAGGTGGCAGGGGGCTGGCTCCATGCCCCCTGAAGGGGTGGGACTGAGGGCAAAAGCAGTGGGGCAAGGGCAGTCAGCCCTTAGCAACTGGGTGTGACTTCCCCCTCCAGCCTTTGGATTTGTGTAGAGCAATGCTCCGGAAGCAATTCAAAGGATGCTGAAGCTCCAGCCTCTAGAGGCAATGGCATGGGTATCTGGTATCGTAGGTGGAGGAAGGCACAGCCTCCCTAAACCGCCGGGCATGGCACCGCCCACACTCTGCCCCCAGCACCTGCCCTCCTGGTGCTCCGGGGCTGGGCCAGGCAGTGCACCCTCCTCCAGTGCTCTGGGGCTGGAAAGGCTTGGCCATGCAATGTATCATCTTTGCTCCCTCCGGTGCCCTGGGATGGTGTGTGCCCCATCTCACTGAGGAGGGCAGGGAAGGAGCAGGGCCTCAGCAGAAAGGGCAGGGCTGGAGGTGGGGCTGGAGGCTTGCCTCCTCCAGCCCTACCTTCACCAATGCCCATGGGAGGTGGCACCTGGGAGATCCAGGCCCCCTTTGAATCTCTGGGCCCTGGGGCAATTGTCCCCTTTGGAGCCTCCTCCCCATCAGTGGGCCTGTTCTTTGATCATTCAGACTTCAACCAAGTCACACAGTCTGCTCTCCCCACACACTTGGCAGATCCAGCAGCTATACGCAGCAGCATGTCTGCTGCATAAAGCCAACATTGTCAGTAGGGATAGTGTTGTGTGAACTGTGTATGGGGCGCAAACAGGAAGAGGAATTTCAAAAATTCCTGAGCCTTTAAATTGGGGAGGACAGTAGAGTTCAAACTGTTAACCAGACTGGTCATATGGGCATTGTGGGATACCTCCTAGAGGCCAATTAAGGTGACAACTAAATAAGATATCTTCACTGATGCTCTGTTGCTCTAATTACATCACAAAAAGCACTCTGCCGCTCATCTAGGTTTTTTTGTGTCAGTGTAACCCCTCCAGTCCAGTGTGTTTCAGCAGCAGCCCTGGGAACTACATCAGTATAGCAGGGGAGTTACAACGGTGGGATGCATATGTCAGTGTGTGCACCTCTGCTGTTTTGTCAATGAAAGCTGATTTTTGTTGACAAAACTTTGTAGTGCAGATAAGGCCTTAGTTCAGGAGAGGGAAAAATATGGCCCATGGGCTGGATCCAGCTCACCAAGCCACCAGATCTGACCTGTGCGGGCATCAGAGAGACTCAGACAGGTTCTCTGCCTGCCCCACCTCCCCCCCCCACTCCACTCAGAAAAGTGGCTGTGGGGCCCTGTTTGTCTTGGAACAACTGTGAGCCCAGGGATAGGGGAGAAGCTTTGTGTGCTGCCCCAGCCCTCAGCACAATCCCACTGGCCAGTTTCCTGCCAATGGGTGCTGCCTGTTTGAAGAATAGGCAGTGCTCAAAGTACCCCTTCCCCCTCAGGCTTGCAGCTATTTACAGACTCTTGTGGCCTCTGCAGCCAGGGAAGGGGGCAGACAGGGGAGCCTGCCTGAGAAACCTGCCGGGCTGCTGGCTGGGACCCCAAGTAAATGTCCCTGCCAGAGCCTGCCTCTGGCACCACAGTACCTCCCTCCTCCCAACCCTTTGCCCCTCCACTCCTGGCTCCCTGCCCCAAACCCATTGTGTGCCTCTCCTTGTGTTCCCATACCTTCCCCAGACACAGCACCCCAATCACCTTTCCCAGGTTGCAACCACCTCCTGCCCTAAGTCACAATCCAAACACAATCCTGCCCCCCCACAATCCCCTGCCCCAGATCACATAAAAATTATTGCCCACTCCTGCCTTAGTTTCTCACTTTCTAAATTGAGATAATGATATTTGCCTTCCTTTGTAAAGCACTTTGACGTTCTTGGGTGAAAATGGTAATTAGGAGCTAAAAAGTATTAGTATTATAAATAGTGTTTGTTATTTTATTTAGTCTATGAAAAGACAAACAAAAATAATGTTGGTCAGTTCTCACATAGCCTACACTCCCATAGGTAAATTCATAATTAAGTAAAAAGAAAAGAGCAAGAAATATTGTTTACCCAAGAGAGACTGCAGCAGTCCTTTTGATGTCATTACAGCCTGTGAGCTAGACACATAATTAGGCAGTTTTTAATCAGATAAATGATAGGCTAGTGTGCACCACATAATTATGGTTCTTCTCACCCCCTAGCACCTAAAAGGCAGCTAGAGGAGAAAACGTACACAGAAATATTCTCTATGGTTCATTGCACACAGTTTTGATGCATCATCTTCTACAGGGGGAGAAAACTGGGGCTTCACAAAGGGTATGGCCATTCAGCCATGCAGGCACCCCAGTTTCTACAGGGAAACTTGAACATCTCAAGGGAGCCCTCAAAAAGCCAGCTACTAAATGCTACGTCCCCTGCCTGTGCTCCATCTGTCACCCAGGGCAGCAAGGTTCAGTCAAGTACTGTGTTGCTGCAGAAGGTCTGTGCATGAACCCCCTACATCCATCTGTCCCCATCCACTTCCATACACAGATGCCACAGAGCAGGAATAAATGCTGTCTCCAAAAGGATACTGGCACCACTCTAGCTACTCTTATGTATTGGGTCCCCATAATATCACATTGATAATTACATCAAACAAACATGGATAGTGTATTCATGTAATGGCATGTTTCACAAATCCAGACTGTGATCACTACAAATGGGTGTCTATTCCACTGAAAGGCAACCTGTGCTAGTAAGTGGGCCTTATGAGTGGCCCTCCTTCATTTCAGTGGCCCACAAGATTGTCGTAACCAAGACAGTCTCCCAGGATAAGATAGTTTTTCTAACTGCACTTGCATACCTAGAAATGTGTGTGGTGTGCCAACTGAACCATAGCAGCACTTCGATTGGATGCAGAGGGTGTACGTGACTCTCACAATTGTTTTAAGTGCATGTCACTTTTGTAATATCCATAGGAACGAAACTATGTGGACAAAACCCAGCAAAACCTGGCAGCCCTGCAATAGAACCCCAATGGGCCGCATACAGTCCTCAGGCCACAGGTTGCCCACCACTGGTCTATTCTGTTCATCCTGTCCCTAGACTACAGGTAATTCGTCTAGCTCAACTCTGCGTTCATTATTTTTACTGAATTACCAAGCATGCTTATTTGATCACAGTAATCCTTTCTGATGCATCATATATCATCCCACTTTGTTACCCACCATGCCACGAGGTCTCTGCTTCTGTATTTCTTCCAAGTTTAGATCAGAAAGTACCACAGCACCACATATGGTTTCTCCAGCCTTCAGCATAAAATGCACAGCCGAGAGGATGTTTGGATATGGCTGGTAGCAAACCTCACAAGCAGAAAGTGCTATGGCATAAAAAATAATTTTGTGAAAATTGTCTTTCTGTTGTTTTACAATATATTTTGTTTGCCTTTTATTTATTATGTGCTATTTAACTTCACTACTTTGCTGATGGAATCACTAGCAAATATTCCATCGGATAGATTTATAAATGGTGTGTGACCTCTTGTGGTATAACACAATACTACAAGTATGATTCATAGATAATAGCTTACATAAGCCATGAGCTGCATATAGCTGAAGTCTCCAGTGATGACTGAATTCCTAGTTAACTAAGGCTAACTCTGAACAAGGTGAGGGAGCTCTCAGCTAACAATGAATCACAATGTAAAGTCTCTCTTCATGCAGTCATTCAGTGACTGCATTTATTTTTGGCTAACTGCATGAAAACCAGACTCAACTTTTCTAAACTAACATGGAATTTTTTCCCCAAAACATGTGTATCCTTTGATGAGATTTGAAGCCCCACAATTAGCATTCACACACTGACATCTGTATTGCAAATGAGATTTAATTCCTCTCAATAACAACACTTGACGCTGAAGAGATGGAGTAATGTGAATGCATCTGAATTCAGTTGCATTAAATAAAAGGACTTTGAGAGGCTGTATTGCAAGCAGCTCTGTGGTTGGGTGAATGCAGATTTGACTGCCTGCATGCCAAAATATTGCTCACTGCAGATCAATTTAAGTACTGGCAGATACAGGAAGTTCTGTTGTGAAACTGTCTATTATATTTATATGTTTTATATCATTGACTGGAGTGGACAAAGCTTGTAAAATACAAGGTGTCAGGAAAAAAGTGGGTAATCATTTTTTACATCATCTGATTCTTTGTTCTTCATTTTGTATATTACTTGTGGCCATGACAACCAATTGATAGTAGCAAGACTGCAATGCCTCTGCAGTCTTACTACAGCAGCAGCCTGCTGATTCACTGCAGACAATGTGCATGCATGCTGAAAAGTCTGAAATAGAATATGAATATCCAGCATTAGGTTAATTTACCAGCTCTGTCAGCATAACAAATAAGTGACAGGAGCCCAATCCTATGAGCCACTCTCCCTTTCCACTGTCAGTCCATGTGAGTTAGAAGCACTCAGCACCCTACAGGACTGGGCTGTGTGTTAATACTATACCAGAAGGGAATTTAAGACTTTTGCAATTTTTCCCATCACCTGTCATCACCTCAAACATATGGTGCCCTATAAGATTGCTTTTAATAAGGACTTTACAGGGAGTTAACATTAATTGCATTCCAAACTTTGTGTAAAAGATATTGATCTGATTTGTGTATGTTTTCAAAATACTCAACATTCCTCCTTACTAGAAAGTATTTATTTGAGATCTTACAAATCGCAGTATACTGTGCATTTTTGGCACATTCACTTAACGTTTATTGACTAATTACATAGTGATGCAAGGTTGCTCTGATTTTTCTTCTTTCTTCAACTAAGGCACGTCTACACAACAGGGCTAAACTCGAAATAAGCTGTGCAATTTGCGCTATGCTTATTGCATAGCTTAAATCAAAATAGCTTATTTTGACTTTTGGCGCTGTCTACACAGCAGGAAATCGAAGATAGAGCACTCTTCCCCCAATTTTCCTTGTTCCTTATACAATGAGGCTACGTCTAGACTGGCATGATTTTCCGCAAATGCTTTTAACGGAAAACTTTTCCGTTAAAAGCATTTGCGGAAAATTTTCTGCAAAAGCACTTTTTGCGGAAAAGCGTCCGTGCCAATCTAGACGGGCTTTTCTGCAAAACAAATCTGAGCTGTCTACACTGGCCCTTTTGCGCAAAAGCTTTGAGCAAAAGGGACTTTTGCCCGAATGGGAGCAGCATAGTATTTCCACAAGAAGCACTGATTTCAGACAGTAGGAAGTCAGTGTTCTTACGGAAATTCAAGCGGCCAGTGTAGACAGCTGGCAACTTTTTCTGCAAAAGCAAAGGCAGCCTGAGGGTTACAGGAGTCAGAGTAAGCAGTCTTCCAGCTCAACATTATTTTGACATCATGTTGATATAACTGCTTGTGTGTAGACGCTGTTATTTCAGAGTAATATCAGTCATTCCGAAATAATGCTTCTGTGTAGACATAGCTCTACAGAACTGATTTTTGTCTATTTTACCTCATTTAACCAAGCTAAGTGTTGACTGCTTTGCATGCTTACAGGTGAATATGAAACTCTCAGTTCAGGTGGACAGTACCCCTAAGAATCAAATGGTAAGTCTCCTGAATGCAGAACAACTTGAGATATTTACCTAAGTCATTTCCATTTCCCAAATTAGTAGTTAAAAGTCATTTTAAGGTTGCTTATATAGCAAATATATAATGTTCTACCTTTTAAATCTATATAAAGCCGATATGTATGTTCTCCAGAAGATTTCAGATGACCACACAGGTGAAAAACAAGGAGTCTTAAAAAGACCAAAAATCCAACCTGTCAAAAGAAATATGAATATTTGTATATAATACCACTCACAATAGATGCATAAATACCACTTTTGGATTATGGCTTTTATTCACCACTGCTTTCCTCCACTTGTGTAGCGATATAACTAGACTGAGTTCCACCAGCATGAAACTGGAATAGAGTGCTAAATTAGAACCCATCTTCAGATTTCACATATGTGACAGAATAATAAATAACTCTGTCTTGTGTTTTGCATTCAGTGTATATTAATGAAACTGAATATATTAATAATACTTTGTCATTTATAGAGGGTTTCCTTTTCACATGGAAGGAGCAGGTGAGAGAAGATGCATATCCCTCAGAGTTTTCTTGGCGTAAGGGAGTAAACACATTTTTGTGAACTAAAACTCTCAACTCCTGAGGACAGGTTTGTTTGAGGAAATAGAAATAACAAACAATGATACAACACCAAAGAAAACACAACCCTGGATGATGATTCTATGGTTACAATGCCAATCAGGAGAATCACGAAGCTCTTGTCTTTCTCAACAGTGCTGCATGAATCAGGCCCTGCAGTCAGTGTTAGGGCAAAAGCATGCCATCAAGCCAATACTATGTGAAATGTGTGGGCATTAGATATGTTAACTAATGTATATTTGTATCAATGAGTAACCACTGGAATTTTTAGAGGCTCCCCCCAGCACTGGCTCTTGCCTGTCGTCTGTCCGTCCCTATCCCCCTGCATAGTTGGCTCTGTGGGAAGCAGCAAGACGTATATGCATGTAGTGGTTAGGATTATCCGATAAGATCAGGCTTATCAGTTAATCATGTAAACGACTACACACTAACGGTACATCGAGACTACATGCCTCTGTCGCCAGAGGCATGTAGATTAGGCTACCAGACATAGTAAAATGAAGCAGCGATTTAAATAATCGCCGCTTCATTTAAATGTACATGGCTGTCGCGCTGAGCCAACAAACAGCTGATCAGCTGTTTGTCGGCTCAGCGCTTGTCGGCTCAGTGCGGTAGTCTGGACGCTCCGCGGTCAACATCAAAGGCATCTGTCAACCTCTCAGGTATGCCTCCTGGGATGAGACATAACTGGGAGGTCAACAGATGCCTTTGATGTCGACTGCGGAGCGTCCAGACTACCGTGCTGAACAGACAAACAGCTGATCAGCTGTTTGTCGACTCAGCGCGGCAGCCATGTAAATTTAAATGAAGCGGCGATTATTTAAATCGCCGCTTCATTTTACTATGTCTGGTAGCCTAATCTACATGCCTCTGGCGACAGAGGCATGTAGTCTAGACGTACCCTAACATCCCTAGTAGGCATTTAAGAAGCATCCATTCTGCAACCATAGAGCTAGATATTACATTTGACAGATTTCATGTGTAGACTATGGCTTTGATAACATAGAGGCCAAGCTAAGAGACGCAAGCTAATAAAGCATGTGAAATGAAATAAGAAAGTTAAAAGCTGCCATATAGCCATCATTAAAGAAAATAAAAAGTTAAACAACAGATTGGAAATCTTGGAAAATTATTCAGAATTTAAAATGTCAGAAATAGTTGGACTCCCTGGAGTAGCTGAGCAAAGAATCATATTGAGGTTTTTGTTTTTGTTTTTTTTGTTTGTTTGTTTTGTTTGTTAGAACACTTGTTTGTTGGAGAAAGTAAATAAGAAAAAGTTATTTACTTGTTCCCATAACATAAGAACTAGGGGGTCACCAAATGAAATTAATAGGTAGCAAGAGCAGGAAGTTTTTCTTCACACAACTAACAGTCAATCTGTGGAACTCCTTGATAGAGGATGGTGTGAAGACTGAGACTTTAACAGGGTTCAAGACAGAACTAGATAAATTCATGGAGGTTAGGTCCATCAATACTTATTAACCAGGATGAGTAGGAATTGCATCCCTAACCTCTGATTGCCAGATGCTGAAAATGGATGACAGGCAAGGGATCACTTGATGATTACCTGTTCTGTTCCCTCCCTCTAGGGCACTTGGCATTGGCTACTGTCATAAGACAGGATACTGGGCTAGATGGACCTTTGGTCTGACTCAGTATGATTGTTCTTATGTTCTGTGAATCATCATAGGAATTTCAACTTTAAATTGTTTCAGCTAGTATGCTCATTGTTTACTTCATAATAAATACTAAAAAGAAATTCTGTAGGCTTGTTTAAGGGACCAACATTTACCTTCATTACAATAAGGTAAATCTTCTGCAGCATCCCTGATGAGTGCCTTTTATTGAGGAAGAATTTAATAGGAAAAAGAAGAAGGTTAAATCAAACAAATATTGGCCTCAATGTGCCTCTCCTACAGAGAAACCTGGAAGAATTTATTGAAATTCTACATGATTTATCTTGCAACACTGCATGCATGCACCCCAAAAGGAAGGGATTTGAGACCTCTTAGGGAATGGCAAGAGGTGCATTCTGCAAATATAGGGATCTGAGGGATCCACAGGAAAAGCAAAGTACAGTAGACTTCCGATAATCTGGAACCTATAGGACCTAGGTGGTGCCGGATTATCAAATATGCCAGACTATCAGGAGGTACTATAAACTGGTTATATATTTATTGTATACATTATATACTGTATATAAAGTGTTCTAAACCCTTTTTATTGTACATACTGTATACAGTATACTGTAATGTTTTAGTATTTTTAAGCCTTTTTTACCCTTTTTGCTCAGTTCAGCTGCTGCCACTGTTACCTTGTGACTCATTTTTTGCTGAAGCTCACTCAATAGGCTCTTGCCATTTTGATGCTGGACTATCACAAGTGCCGGACTATTGGATGCTGGACTATTGGAGTTTTACTGTACTATGCTAAGATGAACCCTTCATTATCTCTGGTAATGCTTTATCCTTTCATATTGCTTGGTGGAATCCCACACCACTGGAAGTTTTAAAAATATTTTGTCCTGTTATAGTAAATTTACCACAATATTCTTCACTGTCCTGGAGCAAAAAAATTCAAAAAGCTTCCTGCACATAACATGGACTATCAGAGCCCTACACTCCCTCTGTATCCAATTAAAATACTGCTATGGTTCAATCAACACACCCAGAAAATTCTAGTTTGCAAAAGTTAGCAAAACTACCCTAACCTGGGAGACCATATTTGTTACGATAATCTTGCAACCCACTGAGATAATGGGGGCCACTGATGTGGCCCATTTACTAGCCTAGGTTGCCCATTACTGGTGTAACCAATAAGCTTATGAGTTTTATGTTTCATGTCTGTGTCATGCTTTATTCCCTAGGCAGACAGCTCAGATATGTCTGAACATTAATACGTGACATGAATGTAAAAAAATACCCTCTTTTTTCCTGGGCTTGTTACTAAAAGATGGCAGAATCAATTTTGCTTAAACTTTCCAAAATAATTAACAATTTAGTTTAAGCTATAAATATAGAGTTTTGGAAGTTATAAGCCATTACAATAGGGAGGATGATTGCCAGACTCCTGCAACTTATCTTCACTAGGACCTTAGTCTGAAATTAGCCCCCAAAGGCTGATTTTGTAAGAGATGCATCCACACTATCAAGCCTGTTATTCTGGAATAAGGAGCCACAGAATTTGAACTCTGTAGTCCTGCCTTTCATAAGGAATAATGCTATTCCTGAACTTGTAAGCCCAAAATAACATTAGTGTGGACACCCCGGTGCCACTAATTTGAACTAACTAGCCTCCGGGAGGTCTCCCACAACTCCTCTGAGTGCTTCCTGGGCTTCTGATTCCGAGGTAGCGCATCCGCAGTATAGACCCTGCCTCAGACTGCATTCGATTCCCCATAGTGAGGATCCAGAACTTCAAATTTGTAAAATCGGGTGCCCAGAAGTCAAATTTAGTCAATTTGAAATAATCTCCTAGTATAGACATGGCCTAACTGGGTAAAGTAGACCAGACCTTATACAGGCAGTCCCCGGGTTACGTACAAGATAGGGACTGTAGATTTGTTCTTTAGTTGAATTTGTATGTAAGTCGGAACTGGTACATATTGTAGGGGAAACTCTAGCCAAACATTTCTCCAGAGCTCAGTTTTATTCTCCCACACCTCACTTCCCTCAGTCCTTTATTCTCAAGCTGAGGTGTCTGCTGAGAAAAGCCGCTCCGCGTCTCCCTGGTCTGCTGGGAGGGGGGGGGGCACTAGCTTTGCGTCTCCCTGGTCTGCTGGGGGGAAGCAGCTAGTGCGGGGTTGCCTCACCACGTTTGTAAGTAGGGATCTGATGTAAGTCGGATCCATGTAACCCGGGGACTGCCTGTATACATAACTCTCATGCTGCTGCACTAAGACTATGTAACATAGTGTGCTATACCTCGTTGATTATACACCAGATGGGAGGATAAGAATTTGCATAATTAACAAAATATTCTGCAAAAATATTAATATTTTATGAGAAAATCCAAGTTAATATTATGCATTATGAACAAAAAGGAGAGTTTTATACACAACAAAAGTGAATATGTACCATATAGAGAGAAATTAAAAAGTACTTAAAAAATACAACAAACCTTTGATAACTTGATTTCACTGGAGTATAAATAAGATTTCTGTGCTGCATCATAACAGATCCTATATAAAATGGATTCAGCAATAAAAAATAAAACAGGGACTTGCTCTGGATTCATGGGTGCATGGTCCAAAGATATTAAAAGGATGTCCAAAGCTTCTAAAGTGAAAACAAAATGGAGAATACATTCAATACGAAGTTCATACTTTGGAAGTCCATTCATAAAGGGATTTAGGGATTGTAGCACCTAACTTTTAGGTGTCTAGTCATCCAGTGGAATCAATATCCTCTAGTTAAATACCTTATACAATGCATAGGAAGAGTCAGGCCCGTAATAACGGGATCCACAAAAGATGGCATGCTGAGAAGCGTAAACTAGCCATTAGCAAATGCCAAGGAGAGGAGTATGGCCTAAGCCCCACCCTCAAAGGGAGTTAAGCACCTATGTCATGTTATGGCTCTAAACCTTATTTCTTTCTGACTGTATACTGTACATCTTATATTCATTTCACAACTTCAACAAAATTCAAATACTTGCCAAGTTATGAACAAATAAAACATGCTTTATTTTTATAGTTCATTCATTTTGTTTGCCTTCAGTAAATATTACTTGGAAGAAAAAACAAAGTGCAAATGTCTGATAAATTGTATTCAACAGCTATTGACATTTTTTGTTAAAGTATATATATTGAAATATATGGTACAAAAATGTCTGAATTAATAACATTAAACTGATTACTGAGAAGTGTAATATAAGCTTTTTTTGAGATATGCCACTTTTTCAGAAAGTTCCTGCAGTGTCAACTTTTCTGCTATTTTTGCTAGGTGGGCTGATCTTTTTTGTAATATGAATGAAAATGACCTTACAAAACTATAGTGGAAAAGACAGAATTGCTTTTTATGGTTGAAAAGGCAGTTAAATTGCTTTTTCAACTATTACATTTTCAAAAAATTACATTATGGCTTTGTTCCATTTTGGTTAATGATTTGTGTGAATCTGATGCTTGTGAAAGTGACAGATTTATAGGTCTCATAGGAAACGTTTAGGTCAGAGAGTCACTATGCAAATTTCTTCAAACATGCCTGCCAATGTGCCTCAGTCTTGACTTAAAACCCACCTGCCTTGTCTGCCAACTTTTAAAGTCTGTGGAAGAAGAATCCACTTCCCCCAACCAACATACACACACATACACAAACACACAAATCCTGCAGGTGGGAGCGTAACCACATTCCAAAATCATCCAATCAACACTTTCTCATCTTGACCTCCATATTTTTGGATCAGTCTTCGTCCCACAAATTTCCAACTTGTCCAAAAATAGAATTATTATTTTATTTTATTTTATTTTATTTTATTTTATTTTATTGATGCAGTATCAGATAGAGGTCTCAACTGGATTAGGAATATATTGTATTATTAAGAGCTATACAAGCATTTAGTAAATCACAGTCCTCCTAGTGAACTTACAATTATGTGTATATATAATAGTTCCATCCCAGATCTTGTGTTCTGTGCAAAATTCTTAAAAGCCTTTTCCTCTTCAAAAGCATCATGGAAAAAGATACATCTTTTATTATTAATTATGTGAAAGCCTTTTGTCCAGTAAAGCAACCAGTCAAAACAATGTTATTTTATTATTTATTGACTGATAAGAGCATGCTCATGCCCATATAAAACAGAGGTTCTACAGTAGCTCCATAAGGGTATGAGGGTTAATATTTGTGAATCCTGTTGCATGACTGTGGCCTAAACAGAAAATAACAGTAATCAGCCACATAATTTATCAATTGACCAGAATATGGATTTGTCATTAAGTGGTTCAGCTACTGTATTATTCTTACTTTTTAAATAGTCAACAGTTCATTGTTGGCAGAATGATATTGCTCCTAAAATGTAATCTGAACTATAAGATGGATTTTTGGCCCTCCTTAAGAAAGATGTATCCACATATTATAACACAGCATTGCTTCTCATCTGTAATAATTCTTTGAAAGATAGATCTTTCAGAGCAACCTTATCAAATATCCACCAAAAAATCTTGTAAGTCTCCCAACACTACAGTAGAATGCATTGTATTAAAACACCTAACATTCTGATATTTCTTATATTCCAAATTAGCTATAATTTTTAACAAGATAATCTTTGATAAGTGATAGCTCAGTTCTTTGTTTCTCCTCCATAAGTTTTATAGCTCTCATTATTTTTTGTATACTACCTTCTCAATATTCTCATTTCTGGAAGAGATCACCTTCGTCAAAGTATATAGAGCATCCCTGTCTTGCCTGGATTGACTTTAATTAGGTTATATCATGGTGATTCTGACTCCCTAATTATTTATTTGATTACCAAGTATAAGCAACTTCTTATCTTTGTGAAAATTATCTTCTTATAAGTCTAGTCATCATGATCAAATTCAAATGTGCATGATTTTTAAAGAAAAAGAGTATGAAGAGAAAAAGGACACTTTTCAATCAAGTGCCATAGGCTTCAGCATCTTACCCAACCCCTGCAAATTATGAGGGAAATAATGCTTAGATCAGCCCCAAATCACAAAACAAGAAAAGAAAAATGAGCTTAATGAGGAGCATAGAATTTTTTGCACACCCTCTATTTTGATTTGTTCCCCCATTTGAGTACTTTTATAGATAGTACAATATCCACAAAACTCCAAAGAAAACCCAGCTTAATAAAAGCAACAAAAAATTATATAGAAGTCTTGATATGGCTTTCACAGTAACACTATTGAATTGTTTCATTTTCCTTGGTAGATTTTCTTTTTCACATGAATGCAGTCATTATCTCATAGTACATTGAAAAATCCAACATCTACAACTAAAGATCTTCTGATCATGATTCAATATTGCAGGAAATGTAGAGAATGTTTCCACATAATTTCCCACCACACCCCAGGATTTTTTGACAGGCAATATCATTCTACCGGCAGACTCATATGAATGAGGTCTAATTTTACTTTCGGAATGGCCCTATACATTTTTAAAAAGAGCAGGAGTACCATAGCATCTATAAAATAGGAATGGAGTGACTCAGCTTTGTCCTATATATCAGCAGTGCAGACTATAGATCATAGATGTCGGCACAGGCACTCATTCATCATTTTTGTTTCAAATATTGCATGATCCTCTCATTAGCCACACCAGCACACTTGCTCTCCAGCCTAACTAGAAAAGCTTTAAGGTATGTATGATGATTATGGATTTAAATCTTTTTGCCAGAACATTATTTTGATAAATCTTATTCTAACTAAAGTGCTATCGATCAGTAAAAAAATCAAAACACCTTAGTGTTCATGCAAGATCCTGCACAGGAATCTCCTTTTACCTGACTTTATTAAGAAAGATCACGACATTTTAGATTGAAAGAATAGTTAACATTTTCATTTACAAAATCTTCAGAACTAACTCAGTACTCAGCAATTTTATTAATGGGCATAATTAGGAAAGTTAAAAACAAGAGGTTATTTAGTACTTTGAGATCATTAAATGTCATTTTAAATTACACTTAATTAGTTACTGATTTCAGAGACAGGTTACAAGGTAATGCCATGTAAAGGTGCTTATATGGTAATGATTTTGCAATTTAGGAAATCAAGCATAAAAACAGAAGTCTCTGAAATACTCTGTAAACATTATAATACAAAGTTAGTTTCTGTGTATATTTATAAAGTTTCTTTCTGCAAGTGGAAAATAAAATCCATATTTGTCTTGGCTTTCTTCCAAGTTTTCATAGTTGGGAATGAGCTAAATTTTCTTTTACTGCTTGGTTAGAAAAGTCCTAAAGTAATTAACATAAATATAATTGAAGAAGACTGTACCTTCCTGGATTTCACCTTTGCACTGAGCCAATATAATTGCTTCAGTCCATGCTACCGGAAGATCCACATGCTTCCCAGAACCTAATGTGCCAAGGCCTGATCTTCTCTGTTTGGAAATGAAAAAGGTGAGATGGTAAAGAAAAAAGCCAAAGATTTTTTGTTTACATTTAGCTTAAAATAAAACTTTTCCCCCAGCCAATTTATTTGGAATAAAAATTCTCATTTTAAAGGCATCATTGGTAAGAGTTTGCTTATGCAAAACACAATAGTGGGAACTAATGAGGCAGCAATGCTTAATCCCTTGGGTTAACACTTAATTAAGAATAGGAAAACTTAACTATAATTACAGTATTATTACCCACCATAAGTACTTTGCATAAGAAACAATTAATTACCATCTCTGAATCACAGTAGTAACTACAGCCAACTTAGTAAAAGGCCTCTACTATTACTATCTCTGTAGGGCTGAAATTGTGTAGGGAGTCAGCAACATGCTATCTTGACAATATACATCTTTGAAGCTTTAGCTTTTTGCATTTTCTAGATCAAACCCTTTCTAGATCAAAACAATCTTTTTAATAGATGTCCTCTTTGTGGGTGATTTCATGGCCAAAAGTCTGACATATATTTGCTCACATCTTTTGGTTAAACAAGGAAAACATACAGTACATTAAATCTGATTTTCATGCATTTAGCTTTTGGAATGAACAGTGAAAAAATATTTTATTTGAACATATTTTCCTTTAGGTTTCCTTCCATATGCTAGCAGCTGATTGTATTCATCGGATTTCTGTATGAATAATTTCATTGTTTTTGCCATTAAGATTGGCCTCTCCCATTTAACCTAAATTGAGCATTGGCACAACAGTGAAGGATGGGAAGGAAACAGCTTTTGGATACTTGGGGAACAGAATTAACAAAAGTAGTAAATGCACTAAGCTGAGGCAGTTTTCCAGCTCTGCCTTCTTGATCACTAAGATGGATGATTATCTATCATGGAATATGAGGGTAAGTATTCTCTAGAACTGAAAAAAATCCAGCATTAATCTGATAAGAATGGAAATCTACACTACAGCACAAAATCAGCAAAATCACATAATTCTATGAGAGTGCCAGTTTTACAAGGGAGCAGGGAGATTTAGAACACTTTTAGCCAATGCACCTTTCCTGCCAAGTAGAAGGTCCATTAAAAAAAGATAATATTCACACTGAAAGACTATGATTGGCAAATAGGGCCTAAGTGTGCTTCATGATGTATACATTTTTAATTTAGATGGTAGCAGAAATTGTATTAGTACCACAGCCATCTCTTCAATGCCTATTAAATGCCAATTACATTGCTTTTTCAATATCTTTCAAATTTGAATGATTATTCTGTTTCTAAACATTATCTATTTTTGGCATAGTAAGCTCACAAGGAATAATGTGGGGTCTCAAAGTGCTGTATTTATTGTTTTCACTTTTCAAAACAGTTGCAAACATTTTAATGGACAAAATAAAATGAAACATGAAAACAAACCAAAACAGTATTCCAGCTAAATAGCTAACCGCCAGGGGTCATGTGCAGCTTGACCTACTGCTCTCAAACAGGGAGGAATTAGTACGTGAAGCAGTGATGATGAGAGAGTCGATCTCAGGATCCTGTCAAAAGGAAGAAAGGAGGGCAGCAAAATACACACACTGGACTTAAGAAAAGCAAATTTTGACTCCCTCAGAGAACTGATGGGCAGGATCCCCTCGGATGCTAACATGAAGGGGAAAGGAGTCCAGGAGATCTGGCTGTAGTTTAAAGAAGCCTTATTGTAGGTGCAAGAACAAACAATCCCACCGTGCAGTAAGAAAAGCAAATATGGTAGGCAACCGGATTGGCTTACTGGGGAAATCCTTGGTGAGCTTAAACACAAAAAGGAAGTTTAGAAGAAGTGGAATCTTGGACAGATGACCAGGGAGGAGCGTAAATATATTGGTCAAATCCATGGGTCCAGATTTAATGCATCCAAGGGTACTGAGGGAGTTGGCAAATGTCATTGTAGAGCCTTTGGCCATTGTCTTTGAAAACTCGTGGAGAGGTCCTGGATGACTGGAAAACAGTAAATGTAGTGCCCATCTTTTAAAAAGGGAAGAAGGATGATCCAGAGAACTACAGACCTGTAAGTCTTTCTTCAGTCCCCAGAAAAATCATGGTGGGGATCCTCAAGGAATCCATTTTGAAGCACTTGGAAAAGGGGAAAGTGATCAGGAAGAGTCACCATGGATTCACCAATGGCAAGTCATTCTTGACCAATCTGATTAGCTTCTATGATGCAGTAACAGGCTTTGTGAACATGGGGAAGTCAGTAGATGTAATATATTTTGACTTTAGCAAAGCTTTTGATACGGTCTTCCACAATATTCTTGCCAGCAAATTAAGGAAGTATGAATTAGATAAATGGACTGTACGGTGGATATAAAGCTGGCTGGATTGTCGGGGCCAACTAGTAGTATCAATGGCTTGATGTCTGGTTAGCGGTCAGTTTCAAGCAGAGTGTCCCAAGGATCAGTTCTAGAGCTGGTTTTGTTCAACATCTTTATTAATGATCTGGATGAGGGGATGGATTGCAGCCTCAGCAAGTTTGTGGATGACTCTAAGCTAGGGGGAGAGGTAGATACATTGGAGGGTAGGGATAGGGTCCAGAGTGACCTAGACAAATTGGAGGATTGGGCCAAAAAAAATCTGATGAAGTTCAGCAAGGACAAGTGCAGAGTCCTGCATTTGGGACGGAAAAATCCCAAGCATTGTTACAGGCTGGGGACTGACTGGCTAAGTAGCAGTTCAGCAGAAAAGGACTTGGGGATTACAGTGAATTAGAAGCTGAATATGAGTCAACAGTGTGCCCTCCTTGTAGCCAAGAAGACTAATGGCATGTTAGGGTACATTAGGAAGAGTATTTCCAACAGACCTACAGAAGTTATTAGTCCCCTTTATTCGGCTCTGGTGAGGCCACATCTGGAGTATTTCATCCAGTTCTGGGCCCCCCAATATAGAAAGGATGCGGATGCATTGGAAAGGGTCCAGCGGACGGCAATCAAAATGATTAGGGGGCTGTAGCACTTGACCATCAAGGAGAGTCTGAGGGATTTGGTCTTATTTAGTCTGCAGAAGAGGGTGGAGGGATTTGATAGCAGCCTTCAACTTCCTGAAGGGACGTTTCAAAGGGGATGGAGAAAGGCTGTTCTCAGTAGTGACAGATGGCAGAACAAAGAGCAATTGTCTCAAGTTACAATCAAGGAGCTTTAGGTTGGATATTATGAAAAACTATTTTACCAGGAGGGTGGTGAAGCACTGGAATGGGTTACCTAGGGAGATGATGGAATCTCCATCTCTGGAGGTTTTTAAGTCCAGGTTTGACAGAGCCCTGGCTGAGATGATTTAGTTAGGGTTGGTCCTGCTTTGAGCAGGGGGCTAGATTTGATGACCTTCTCAGGTCTCTTCCAACTCTAAGATTCTATTATTCTATTTCTAAAGTTCTCTTGAAGAAACTTAAAACAGTTTATAGCATTTAGCTATAAACTAATGAAAAATCTGTATAATATTCTGCCAATATATTCTTTTCCCCCCAATATTAAGTAATGACAAGATCCTAGGACAGATGATCAATGGAGATACTACAGGTTGAATCTCTCTAATCCAGCACCCTAGACACATGATGATGCCAAACAAGAGACTTTTCCATACCACAGGAATTCAATATTGTATAGCTGCATTACCAACACTTCCTTTCCTTACTGGGCTTTTAGAAGACATTTAGGGGTAAATTAGAGCCAAATAACACCACAAAACACTGAGAGTCAGGGCTGGTGGCTGTAAACAACCTTATGGGACCATGGGACACTTGGCACGCCCATGATTAAGTGGACATCCAGCTAACTAAAATCATGCTGGACCACAGAAGTTGCCAGACCACAGAGTTCCAGGTTAGAGAGGTTCAACTAACTATTATGCTTCACTTATATCTTCTAATTGTTCCTCTTCCCCTCCCCCCCATACTTTCTCCCAACAAAAGTTTTGGCTTTGTTTTTTCAATAAGAAACAAAGTGTGCAAATACCAGAACATTAATAATATTAACTATTCCTTAATTGTGTACACAAACCTTGCATCTGGCAAGCATTTTCTTAGCTAGTTCCAGTAAGTCTTTTTTATCCTGTGGATTTGTTGCATCATTGAACTTCTGAATGAAATTTTCTGTGATTTCCAAGGGGTTTCTAAAAGAAATAGCCAAAATATTGGTGCAATTATGTTTTATTTCCTAAACAATATGGTTTAAAGTAGTATAAAAGTGTCCAAAGACAGAATTACTTTTCTATTATTTTTTTTAAGTAGACTTTAAAAAAGTAAAGGCGTGGTGTGTTGTTTTTTTACTATATTGTTTCAAGACTTTACCAACCGTTTTATTGGAAGGCTGCTCTAATTTACATTGGATTTTAACAGGCACATGGGTGCTGAAAGTTCAGCCAAGAATCAGCACTCTACAAAACTGTCCAGCCAGGCACTCACTGTGGTAGCCACACTGGCCATATAATGGAAGTTTTGCTATTGACTTCGGTATGGCCAAGACAGCACTCACACTTTTTTGTCCTTTTAAGCTAGCAGCGGGAAGCCAGCCCCACAGGCTTCATGCCAATACAGGTTCACTTTTAGTGTATATCTACCCTGCAACTGGGAGGTGTAATTCCCAGCTCCTGTCGACATATATGGGCTAACTGTGCTCAAGCTAAAAATAGCAGTGTGGTCATGATGGGCCACCCACCTGAGTGTGTACTCAGATATATAAGATATTGGACAGGATTGTGTTTAGGTAGCCAGTGCAAACTATTGCCTATGCCACCAGGGCCACACCTGTTTTTGGTGAGCTAGCTTGAACACAGCTAGCCTATGCTGGGAATTACACCTGATGGCTGAAGTATAGACGTATCCTTACACTGGAGTGACTCCTTGTGGATGGTTAAACTGGTTTTATGCTCATACTACACCAGAAGTGCAATGCAAAGTGCTGTCTTCTCAAAGCTGCTGACAAACCAAAACAATAGCTCTGAAAGAGGTATGGCCTGTCCTTTTCATTTGCTAGGATTTTTATTTTGAAAGTGACCAAGGACAATTTAGATTACAGCATTATAACTACTTCAGTGCTGATCAGTTTACCAAGCACCCACTAATAGACACCTTCACCAATCTCAGACTGCCTACTCTGCCACAGCTGGCCTCTTCCCAACTACCACAACCCAGGCTTCCTACCGTAACAATTTCTAGGCTATGTCTAAACTGCAGGCTTCTTGCACAAAACTTCTTGTGCAAGAGTACATCCACACTGCCATGCGCTTTTGTGTGCTCTCTTGCGCAAGAAAGCTCTGATGGACATTTTAGCCATAGGGGTTGCCTGTGCAAGAAACCCCTGTTCCCGTCCACACTGCCTTTTTGCGCAAGAGCTTATTCTTCTCTTCTGATGATCTAATGCAAACTTTCTTGTGCAAGAACAGGCTTGTAGTGTGGGTGCTCCGCAAGTTTTTGTGCAAGAATGGCCGTTCTTGCACAAGAAGCCTGCAGTATAGATATAGCTCTACAGTATAGCTGTACATTGTCAATACACAATTCTGCATGACAATCCATATTTTAAATGTAGTGACAGCAAAAGAAATCACAATTTAACCTCCCATGAAATCACACAAGGCATACCACATCCAGTGCAGTATTCTTTTTTTTTTAATGTGATACAATTAGAGCCTCAATTTTTAATTTCAGTGAAACTGCTGTACCATTTCCAGTATGCCTCAGAACTCACACTGAGCTTATGTAGAGTACTCAGTGCCTTGGCAATCAGCAGTAGGCAGGCATGTCAAAAGCAGGGGGTTGGGGAGGAAAAGGGAAATTGCCTAGGGACCTAGACAATTTAAAGGGGCCTGGGGTCTCCAGCCACTACCATGGTAGCAGCAACCAGGACCCCTACTAGACTCTTAAATTGCCTGTGTAGACCACTGGCATAGGCACATGGTTGGTGGGTGGAGTCCCCCATGAGGGAGGGTAGACCCCAGCTCCACTTCTTCTATGTGTGGGGCTTCATCAGAGTTTATTGTAGCTGGATGCTGAGGTGTAGCAGTTTGAAAGCCTGCAGGTTGTTTTGGCTTTCATACTGCCGCTCACTGCTGTATTGTTTCAGCATGAGGGCTTGGTAGTCGACAGGTTGGAAACAGAATTAAAACTGGCTTACCGGTATGCAGATCTGGATTGTACATTGTTGAAAATATCCCATGAAAGTTGCTAATATAAAATTTTCTAATTTTTTTAACCCCAGTGTGTATTTAGTATTCTAAGCTGATGTGATTAATTGATTCTTAAAAATGTAAGACAACTTCTTTCAGCAGGCCTCCTATGTCAAAAGGTCAAAGTAGAGTAAGGGAGGCAAAAGGAAACTGACCCTCGTTGTATATTTCACAAAAATTTGCTTCCTGATAGTCTGAATTTCTTTTAGTCTCTACCTAAGAGGAGGAATTTATAGAAGAAAAGAAACTTATAAGCTGAAGAAGAAAAAGCTTGATGTTAAACAATATTTCTTAATTTCTAAAATGATGACATTTCAAACACAGCTGTGATTCTGGAACACACTGATTTCTGTTAGTTCTCCAGAAAGCCTGTTTGCCTAATGTAAAAATAAGAAACACTGCCATGTGATACACTGACCCAACCCTTTTATGGCTACTTGCCTCATAGTGTTTTCTTTGACAGTACTTTGCTCTGAACTTCTGTCTCCTCTTTTTCCAATTACACATTAAATCAGTCTGAGAATTATTTTCCTGTTTGGAATGCAAACCAAACTGGTTTTGTTTGTTCACTTTCTCCTACCTCAACCTTGTGGGTGTCTAGTCTCATGCCAGGGAAACTTATGTTGAAGCCAGTTTCTGATTGGTTGCTGATACAAAACATTTTGGCTACGGCTACACTACAAACTTTTTCTGGAAGAGGAAATGCAAATGGAGCGCTCATTTGCATATCTCACACTCTCATTTGCATATTCTCTTCTGATCCTTTTTGCGGAAGAGGTTTTTGTGCAAAAAACAGCGCTGTGTAGATGTTATGTAGATGTGATCCAATTTTTGAGGAAGAAGAGATCTTGCGCAAAAGGGAGGTTTTGCGCAAAAAGGCACCATCTACACCGCTTTTTTGTGCAAAAACCTCTTCTCCATTTGCATTTCCTCTTCCGGAAAAAGTTCGTAATGCAGCCGTAGCCTAAGGGTACGTCTAGACTACATGCCTCTGTCGCCAGAGGCATGTAGATTAGGCTACCAGACATAGTAAAATGAAGCGGCGATTTAAATAATCACCGCTTCATTTAAATTTACATGGCTGCCACGCTGAATCAAAGGTGTTTGTCGACCACCCAGGTAAACCTCATCCCAGGAGGCTTACCTGGGTGGTCGACAAATACCTTTTATGTTGACACCCGCGCATCCAGACTAGCATGCTGAGCCTACAAACAGCTGATCAGCTGTTTGTCGGTTCAGCGTGGCAGCCATGTAAATTTAAATGAAGCGGTGATTATTTAAATCGCCGCTTCATTTTACTATGTCTGGTAGCCTAATCTACATGCCTCTGGCGACAGAGGCATGTAGTCTAGACGTACCCATAATGTTCTCCTCTTTATGTTAAACATTCCGTGACACATAAAAATCCTAAAATAATGAAGTCTTATTCCTGAAATTTAAAAAATTTAGGGAGGTTGTAGAATCTCCATCACTAGACATTTTTAAGAGCATGTTACACAAACACCTCTCGGGATGATTTAGATGGTGCTTGGTCCTGCCATGAGTGCAGAGGACAGGACTTGATGATCTCTAGATGTTCCTTCCAGTTCTATGGTTCTATGAAATACCATTGGTTAGATGGGGATCGGATGGGAGGGGAGATGCAGCTGCAGCTGGCATGGGGTTCCTCTGGGCAGATGGGGGGACGGGACTGCTGTTGGCACAGGGATCCTCTGAATAGATGGGGGAGAGAGGTACCTCTGGCCAGGTAGGGGATGGTTGATGTGGAGGCTGTCCACTGGTTGAGGGGTGGTGCTTGGGATTACTCTGGGAGTGGGAGGGAGGTTGTGGTTCCATCCAAATGAGGGAGACAGAGCAGGGAGGCCATTGATTGTACAGTCCTGGGGACTGGAATTCCTGTTGGTGAGTCTGACAATAGGTATGCTTGGAAATAGTGAATTGACAACACTTTCACAGATATTATGGAGCACACAGCAAGTTGCCACAACGGTGGGAATGTTACTTTTGCTGAAGTCTATAAACTGCAAAACCTTAATGTCCAAAAGCACATTCTATCACCATTCTGCACTTGCTCAGCCTGTAGTTGAACGGCTCCTTACTGCTACTGATATTCTGTGATACACAACACACATCAGAAATGGAAAGTACTGTGAGATTAGACATAGCATTTCAGCTTTCCTTAAGCAGTAGAAAAATGGTATGCATTACATTTTACTCAAAGTCAGAGGAAAGTCCCAAGACAACTCTGATCTGCTTTTCTATTTCTGGTATGTATTTTACAAATAACTTATGCTTTATCAATTATTTTACACATAATAACTGCCAACCCGTCTGTGATGCATTATTGAAAAGATAGAAGACTGCTCATTTGTAACCTTGTGTGTAGAAGTTGAACTGCTTAATTGAATGCTTCTTACAGTCTGCCATAGCTCATCTTGAATATTTAATGGTGAAGTAAGATAGTTATTTTTAGCCAATAGCTGACTGGAGCAAAAAGGAAGTCTTTATAAATATAGGCATTTAGAGTCTAGCGACAGAGTATTATAAAGAGAAAAAAACATTAAGCAGCTAGTCCGCAAAACATTACTAACCACCTCTGTTCTTTAACCAGTTCAAGGACCAACTAAGAGAATAGGGGCTGTTAACAGGGAGTTTGGAGAGGGAGTTCTCCAGATAAAGAAGGAAGCTGATACAGGACCCTTGAAGGAACTCACTTTCTGTAGCGTGTGTTGTGTTTGTGGTTTTCTTGCTGTGTGCTAAGCTTGTGTTTGGCTGGAGAGAGGGCTTTGGTTTCTAAGACCATGGGACTCTGTTCTGGGCACAAGGATTCTTAGGAAGAGATGGGATTCACCACAAGAGGAAAGAACATCTTGGAGATGTTTTACAGATCCTATAAACCTCCTTGCAGGAGGCATACGGGATCTGTGGTAAAAGGCTTTCTTTCTCGA